TGGGTGGGATGTGCTGGGTGCAGCCCTGCTTAGATGTGCTCTCCATGCTGGACATGGGGTGGCCAAGGGTGGCTGCACAGGAGGGGCAGGTGGAGCTGTCAGGGCCCAGTGTCCATGCAGCCTTTTTTGGATATAGCTGGAAGGATGGATGTGTCAGTCTGGCCTTGTCCTGGCCTTGGGGACTGAAAGCAGAGGTGGCCTGTGTGTGGTGTGGGGAGTTCCAGCTGAGTGTCCCCAGGGTGAGATGGAGACCTTGGGCCGTGCAGACCCTGCTGTCCTTCAGAAGGAGAGGACAGACGTGTCCCAGCACCCGAGCCCCTGTAATCCCAGAGAGGTGTCTGTGCTGAGGTGGCTGTGCCCTGGGCTCCTGTCCCCTCCAGGGCCTGGAAAGCACTGTGAAAGTTTTATTCCTTACATGGAGCTCATGCTGCCATGTGAAAGCACATCCTAAGCGCTGTGGGAAGCGCTGTGGTGCTGATGCTGTCCCTGCTCCCACTGCTGACCATGCACAGCCCCTGCCGGGCTCCCTGCTCCCACCAGGCTGCCTGCCCAGCGCCCCGCCCAGTGCCCCAGCTCTGCCAGTGGCATTTCAGGATGAAATACCCTCATTCCTGGCAGTTTTTTTCCAGTTGGCACTGCCTGGCATTGAACATATCTGGGGTGCCCCAGGGCTGGGCAGAGGTGAGCATTGGGCATCTGTCACAGGGGAAACTCTCTCCCTTTGGGGGTGCTCATCTGTGGTCCAGCAGGGTGGCTCAGAGGACTCGCTGGGAATCAGCCTGAAGGGAGTCTTGGAAAGAAAGCACAGGCTGAGGAGCAAGGGGAGAGGAGCCAGGCATCACTTCCTTCCCCTGGATTCTTTATTCCAACCTTTCAGCTTCACAGCTCTCACTGGAGGGTTTCCCACAGCAGGTGGGCAAGTGCATTCTCCATGTGGGAGCTGACCTTTGGGGTGTCCACCTCACCTTTGGGGTGCCCGTGTCAACTTTGGGGTGCCCTTGAGGCTGAACATCCTCCCAGGAGTAAGTGATAGAACTTCCCTCTGTTTTCCCTGTTCCTTTGTATGTCCAGAGGAGTGTGAGGCTGCTCATTGCTTTTTTCCTTGTAGAAAAGTGGAAACAAAACCTGCTTTATCATCTACCTGACTGCACAAAATGTGGTCAAAGAAAGGAGAATGACCAAGTCCATTTAAAATGAATAAAACAGAATCAAAACATAATATTTCAAGAAAGCTCTGTCAGTGATTGAAGGTGGAAATGTGACTCTGACTGAATCTGTGAGGTCATCAGTGGATGCAGACACAAGATGGATGTTTCTCAGAGTCATTGCTGCTTGAAACCCTCACTAATTGCAAACTATCAAGGAAGCTTTTAAAAATTAATTTCTATCAGTAAAAAATATAAGCAAAAATAATATAATATAATATAGCATAATGTAATTAATATAATATAATCAAAGTCAAATTGCCTGGATTTTATCTTCCTGCAATATTTTTTTTTCCCCAGTAGTAGGCTTGGTGCTAAGGTGATGACTGTGGTATTGGGTCAATCCTATTTTTCTTTTTTTACTGCAGTGAATTGATTTTATTCTGTTTCAAGCAAGCACTGAGAGCTCTGAAGGCCCAGGGGGTTGTGATCCCACCACCCCCAGCTCCAGGGCCTTGGTGCTGCCTTTGGAAGAGCAGGGGTCAGGGTGTGCAGCTGGCAGCCCATGGTGGCAGACAGCATTTGCTGTTCTCCTCCCTCATTAACTCCTGTGTGCCTGCTGCACCTCAGTGAGTGCTCAGTAATGGGAGATTTTAAAAGGTGAAGAGAATTCTTAGGAGCACAGAAAGCCCCCTTCCTTGAAGGCAGCCAGAAGAGAGATGGCTGCTTGCCTTGGGGAAGATGACAACTAAGAGACAACCTGACAAAGCTGTGCATGTTTTTGAACACTCCAGAAAAGGTAGATCAGAGGCTTCTTTCTTCCTTTTGCAAGGAAAAAAGAGACAGTCAACAAAATTAAAAAGCAGCAAATTAAAAGCCAATAAAAGGCAGGATGTTTTCCTGCATGATGGGCAGTGATGTGATGGGAGTGTGACGCCAGGAGCTGGGTGCTCAGAGGGGCTGGGAGGGGACTCAGCTGGACACGGTGATATGGGGTGACATGGGCTGGACTCACAGAATCCCACACTGCTTGGGGCTGGGAGGGACCTTAGGGATCAGCCAGTGTCACCCCAGCCATGGCAGGGACCCCTCCCACTGCCCCAGGCTGCTCCAAGCCCCAGTGTCCAACCTGGCCTTGGGCACTGCCAGGGATCCAGGGGCAGCCACAGCTGCTCTGGGCACCCTGTGCCAGGGCCTGCCCACCCTGCCAGGGAACAATTCCTGCCCAATATCCCATCCAGCCCTGCCCTCTGGCACTGGGAGCCATTCCCTGTGTCCTGTCCCTCCATCCCTTGTCCCCAGTCCCTCCCCAGCTCTCCTGGAGCCCCTTTAGGCCCTGGCAGGGGCTCTGAGCTCTCCCTGGATCCTTCTCCTCTCCAGGTGAGCACCCCCAGCTCTCCCAGCCTGGCTCCAGAGCAGAGGGGCTCCAGCCTTGGAGCAGCTCCGTGGGCTCCTCTGGTTCTCTCCAGGTCCAGGTCTTGTGTTGGAGGTCCCAGTGCTGGACATGGTCTGGCCCCATGCTGTGGGTGAGCACATGGTAGGGACTGGTTCCTTGCCGGTGTCCACTGGAGACTTTCTTGAAGCTTCTTCTGAAGCCCCTTCTGCACATGGTGGCCCAGGCTGGGTGTCCCTGTGAGGTGTGTGACTGTCCCAGAGGGTTGGTGGGACAGGGGCCAGTGTGGGAGCAGCACTGGGAGCTCTGGGCCTCAGAGTGAGCACTGGGAGTCTCCATAAGACCATTGGAGCACTAACAACTTCCCAATAATTAATGTCAGCGTTCAGATGGTGGGTTCTGGATCCTGACAAGAAATAATTGAAAAACCAAATGTGCAATTATGTCTGACAAGCAGCGTGTGCTTTTCTTGGTCACCAGAGCCTTGTGTAGTCATGTGTTAGACACGGTTTTATATAATTATTATTGTTTATATGGTGGGTGTCAGAGGAAGGAGGAATTTCAGTTTCGAGTCCTCTGTTGGCTATTTATTTTAAAGTCATTAGATTTGTTTTCAGACTTAACTACACTTAATGTGTGAGACTCCTGCTGAATAAATCAGCCCCTGATATAGGAGCTGCATCTGTTTGTGGAGGGAACAGAGCCAGCTGGAAGCTCAGCCCCGTCTGCAGCAGGGCTGTCACCAGCCAGGAGCCCGCTCACAGCACAGATGTAGCTGTGGAGAAGCTCTGCTCCTGGAGCAGAGGAAATCCAGGCCTTTGGGGCAGGGCTCTGCTTTAGCCCAGAAAGGGCTCAGGGAGGTGCAGGTGCAGCAGAAGGGCCCAGCTGGGAGCAGAGCAAGAGTCCCCAGGGGTGCTTTGGGCTGAGCCTGGAAGTTTCCCAGCTCTGACATGGTGCAGTTTTCCTGGGGACTCCAGACCAAGCCATGGTGCCTCAAGGGTCTGAGTGTTTCAGTCTGTGCCATAGAAGATGTGACTTCCATGGAATCACAGAATCCCTGAGCTGAAGGGATCCATCAGGGTCACTGAGTCCAGCTCCTGGCCCTGCACAGACACCCCAACAATCCCACCCTGGGCATCCCTGGGAGCAGTGTCCAAACACTCCTGGAGCTCTTGGGGCTGGGACCATTCCCTGTGGAGCCCTGGGAGGAGAAGCTGTTGAAAAAGGGTTGCACCCACTTTGCTCCTTCTCAGTTCACCTTTCTCCAGCCTCCCTGGTGGCACTTTCTCCTCTCTTCCCCACCTTCCTTGCTCTGTCCTTTGTGGACACGTCCTCCCCAGCAGCTCCTGTCATCCAAGGGTCATCCCTGGGATGGCACCAACTCTTCTTCAGGCTCCTCTTCCAGCTCACCAGGTCCCCAGCACTGGGGAAAGACAATTCTGAGGCTGTAGTCCTCTGAAGCTTGGGAGAGGGCTCTACACCCTGTGGAGGGACAGGCCTAGGGCTGGGTATTTCCAGGAAGCAAAATTATTTCAATTGTCTCCCCTTTCTTTAAGAGGCAACCTGTGGGATTTCCAGTCCCAGAATGCTAAGAAGCTTCTGACTCATCCTGCATCAGAAAAAGAGAAAACTTTTACTAATTAGGCAAGGAATTTAATAAGCCTTGGCGCCCACTGAAGGGCTCTCACCAGCCATCTTCAAAAAGAAACAAACCAACCAACCAACACAAAATCCCCCAAAAGTGCCCTCTGGCCAGTTTAAGAGCAGTGGATAGTTCAGTTCTGTATGACAACCAACACAGAAGCTGTGGAGAACCCGGCCAGGTTTCCTTGAAACCCAAAAGGTCAAATATCCACATACAAGGAGATGATAGTGCTCAATCCCAGCTCCCAGGAACGGAAGTATTTTCTGTGTAAACCACACCAGTTTGCCCAGTGCCAAAGTCCTGGAGAACTTTGCGTGGTGTGAGGTGGAGAAGTGTCCCTTTCTGGAGCCATAAAGCTCCAAGACGTGGCAGCTCTAAAGCGTTCAGGAAAGCTGAGCCACCAGGAAATCCTTGGGTCACCCCCTCACTCCTTGTGGCTTGTTGGAGACCTGTGGCCATTTCAGTTCTCACCCCCTCAGTCATTTCT